AAAATTGGTTGAAAAGTGTCATACGATTTTGTGATCCTAGCCCACTACTGTACTCCAGTAACTTACCGCATTACCGTACCATGTGGAATAGACATGGTATTTGTAGCCCTATCAAATAATCTCAATAGAAGACTTTTCACCAAATCGGCAATCCTGACCCTTTGCATGCTTATCGTAATTCTACAATATAACTATATCGTGCGGAATAGGTGTGATATTCGTGAGCAGCGTGTGAAATAGTCACTATGTCTGAAGTCAGCGAAATAAGGTTTTAAGGTTTGGCGCCGGAATTTTGAAAGCGTCAAATAACTCAATCGTGTAATGAGACACTGCAAATTTCGCGACTTTTATTGAAACTCTGATATGATAGAAAATTGCGAGAAATGATTCTTTACCCTAAAGTAATGCATGGGTGCGATTCTATGGGTTTGATTGAATATGGGGTTGCCACCGTATGGTCCAGCCGGTACGGGTAGGGAATATTTATCGCCATTAGGCCCCGCCCCCGCAACTGTTCCATTTCCGTATTTTTTGCTGAACATGAGGTATTGATCATTTCTCAATGGAAAATTTCATGTGTTTGTCAACCTATCCTATAAATTGTCAATTCAATCACGCTGCTCCAGTGTTCCCAATAGTCTGATTGTAAAATTTTGAAATCTCCACGAAGGCGAATTCTAAATATCCTTTACCCGACGATGATATCCGCTACCCTTGTGGGCATTGGCGGGCGCAACCCTCTATGGCTGTTTTGACTTGACTTGCTGAAATAAATTACTTTTGGGATACTTTCTAGGTCCCTCATCGTCTTTCCTCCCCAAAGAAGAGAGCAAAACTTTAGTTTTTATCCTCTTTGGTATAAGAAGTAGTTGTTTACTAGTTGTGCAACATTAAAAATCCACTCGGCTTTTATAATTTTAAATATGCATAGCGAATCTCCTTACACTTGAAGATTTTTGCCTAATTGGCTTCCTGAGACGCTTCATATAGCGATGCTCAGACATCAAACGTCAAAGGAAGGCTTTTAGGTATCGTGCCAGGTGATATTTTCACTGACTTACATCGCAATGGGATCATTCCTGACCCATTATTTGGAGACAACCATCTGGATCTCCGTTGGGTTGCTTCAGATAATTGGACTTACACGAAATCATTTGAAGTAGATAAGGATATTCTAATGGTACTCATTAGGACAAGTTTACACCTCCTTCCACAAACCTTTGTATTTTTTTCCACATTTTTTACTTCAGCCTAACAAAATTCTACTACGATTGCATGGAATCGATACTATATCA